ATGATAGAGCAGAAAAAGACCATTTTGCATATCAAGTGTGCTATGCCATTCAGTGAGTTCATGGCTGGTTTGATAATCTTCATTTCCACTTTCCTTCCTTTCCTCCAAAACATTTGATTCCTTTACTGATTTAAAATTCTGTCTACCTCAGCTTTCAGTATACTTAACAACGCAGCTTCTATAGTTTACTATGGTTAAGATTCCACAGATTCACTATAACCTGAGGGAAGAAATTTCTCCTGGAATATGTTTTAAATAGATTTACTCTAGATTATGCCATCTTGTCCTCGACTCTCCCTCAGGGGCAGCAACCTCTCCAGCTCTATCCTATTAAAGCCAATTAAGGATCTTATGTTTCAGTAACAGATTCAGATGATTGTGGCTGGGATGTTGGAAATGGGAAATTTCTAGCTAAAGTAAAGGTTGCACAGGTACAAGATTTCGGTGATACCTTTCACTTTCGTGATGATATTCTTAAACATTTATGATTTGTCGATAACCTGTAAAAGCTGAACACAATTTAACAGCCTTGTGTATAATTAGATGCATATTTTGTATTTTTCTATCTTTATGAATGACTTTTTTAAAAAAAAAATTAAAAGTTTTGTTGCAGTCTGAGCTGCTCATAGATTTTGGTTCAGTGAACATTCTTAACTCCAATTTTTACAGGTCCAACCTACTCAACCTCTCCTTATAAAAGAATCCCCCTATTCCTGGGATCAGTGAACCTTTTTTCGGACTGCCTCCAATGGCAGTATATCTTGCCTTAGATAAAGGGACCAAAACTATTCACAGTTATGATAAAATTGTGGATACACTTTGCATGTGATGTGGAGGTAATTTAAAATGAAAGAAGAGCTTCAAAAAATTAAGAGAGTGACATTTACAGAACAACACAAACCTTGTTTGTACTTAATCTCTAAAAGTGCCTGCTACAGTTAAACAATGACTAATCCAACCCAAACTTCTAACCAATCAAATTGTTTCCCAATCATTTATATTGTGTTGAATTCCAATACACACCAATATTCCCAGTGAATAAAATGCAAAGCAACAAGCTAGGTCCTACTCACTTGCATTGTCCAGAGTCTTGACCTGGTCATTACAGTTAAATACAAAAACTGGGATTCATGTGTTTGATTCTCTAATTAATTCTAAGATTTGGGTAATGTAAGGCTTACACCTCAGCAGCCTTTTCCAAGTAATTTTTAAGTATTTCAGGTTTCTATTTCAAATATTTGACCTATTGTCTGATTTAATCTGTGCTCCCTTGTTCTACTGTACTAAACTGGGAACTGGTGCCTCAGATTTACCTTTTCTATGCCAGTTACTACATTATGTGGCTTTTTTAAGGTCACTTAAAACTTCTTTTCCAAATATTCGTTTCAATTCTCATTCTAGAAATCCCTGGGTCTTCTGCACACTGCCTTTAAAAATTGAATGTTATGCCATGGTGACCAAAATTGTTCCTAACATTGTGATTTTCTGGAATAAAAATAGAAATTTCTGAATCACTCAGCAGGTTATGGCAGCATCTGTGGAAAGAAAAATTGAGTTAACTTTTCAGGTTTGTGACCTTTCAACAGAGCTGAGAAAAGTTAGAGACGTAATATGTTTTGAGCAAGAAATGGGTGATACAATGACAAAAGGAAGGGCTGTGACAGGGTGGAAGGTAGGAGAAATTGAATGCCAGAAGAGTTAGTTTTCCAGGGTCAAAGGGAATAGAGGTGGGGCAAGAAAAGAAACAAAAAATGTATGTGGAGAATGTCTACTGCCTGCTGAAAAAGAAACTGAGAAAAGTTGGAGCATTCTGAATTTTGTTCACAAAATTAATTTTCTGAAAGAAAGAGAAAAGCAGAAGAAATTGGATGGTAGGAGACAAAACCCCTGACTTTAAAAGAAAATTACAGAGGATTTAGGTGTCACTGCTAAGACTAGGATTCGTTTCCCATCCCTAATTGCCCCTGAACTGAGTGGTTTGGTGGACCATTTCAGGGAGCATTTGAGAGTCAACCACATGGGACCTGGAGTCACATGCAAGTCAGACCAGTTGAAAGATGACAGACCTCCACACCATCAGCCTAAGCCTGTCAGAATACTAACCCAGTGATGTTATCTCTACACCAGTGCTGCCACTACAAGGCTTTGTTCACATACAACTCAATGAATTATAGAGATAGTAACTAACCTCATTTAAAAAAAACAAAAACGAGTGTAGTTCTGAAAAAAATACACTTGTTCATTATGAAACAAATACTAAATAAGGGACAAACGTTAAAGGAATATCATTACCTCCTTTTATAGAAGTTGGATAAATCATGTCAGAAGCTGAGGTTAGTGCAAAACAATCAGAAAAAGAGGTAATAGAAGACGACTCAATAACTTTAGGCATAAATTAGCACTGAATAGAAAACTTCTGGTGTAATATATATCCAATTATATGATAACATGGATTCATTAGACCATGATTTTGATAAAGAAAGAAAATGATTTTCTGGAAATAATTTTGAC